GGAATAACATTTATGCAAGACCAAGCCAAAAAGTAGCTGCGAACGTGAGAGGCTGTAATCAATAAAGTGAACATAACTTAAGAACAGTAGATCGTATAATAATAACCTATAGGGTCAAAATGAAGTCCCCAAATGCCCTAGTACAGCTGAGAGTGAGCTCTCCTTCTTGAAATACTCTCACATGGCCACGTGCATACAACCACTGCCAGGAAAGTCCCACTCACTGCCTCCTCGTGATAGGGTGTTGTTTACGAAATTGAGAGGACGAAAAGTGAGTGTCCGGCGCATTAATCGGGTTGATGGACACGGAGAGTCCACCTACAGGAGTTGAAAAACCCTGATTCCAAACTAATAGTGCACACGGGCTCCAGTACCCTGAAGGAACAAATGGCGTATGAATCAATCGTTGGTCATTGGCTACCATTGGACTACATCTCCTTACGTTGCTCCACTGCCATGTAGATCAGACCTTTAGGTAGAAGGCTCCGGGTGTGGCCTCCTAAGAAAACCACCTGCTTCGGTTTGGGCACTCGAACAGTATCCCAGCCCTCATACAAAAAGAATGATTTATGTGGCGCATATCTATTTGGTGCCTTCTTGTACCAATGTTTATGTGTTTAAATAAATAACATTATAAGGGGACTATAGATATACATAATCTAGTTACTGAATAGTTATACAATAGGAATATATATATACGGTGTGTGCTACTTATATCGACATGAGTAGTATATGATGGTAGTCGTGAACAGAAGGTCTGGCAGCAAAGAAACAAGAGGATCGAACAGTAAAGAATGGAAACAGGATGCTATGGCCTTTTTCCCTTTGGATACGTTTCTCAAAATTTTTATTTCGATTCAATTTTAAATTATGACTTCATTTTATATGATCTGTGCATTTTAATAATTTAATTCCTAAATTTTCTTTGCACTGATTTTATTAATTACACATTGTTAATATTAAAGATAACACAAAAAATCTATATTCAGTTATCTAATTTCGAATTCTCTTAGTTCTTAATCTTAACGAAATTTTATGATTGACCGATTACATAACCTTATTTTTAGATTCATACAGCTGATGAGCTTCTAACTGATTACTGTGAGAAAAATTATTATTATACTAACCAACCACCATATAGAGTAAGAGAATTAATTTTATAACTTGAAACTACTTGCACGTTAGCTACTGTAGTGTTGTAGTGTCGGCTGCTGTGTCAAGCCCACACAACTTATTCTAGCTTCTGGTCAGGCCAATTTATCCATTCTTCTTGAGTCACGTTTTGAGCTTGTTAATTATTCGCTTATCAACCTTGACTGTTTATGTAGGCGTGTTTCTTATCTTACTAATCATATACCTGTAAATTACATTTGTCTGACTAGAAATATCGATTCACACTTGGTTAAATGGAGTTGGCCTACTCGCCTCCTCCATTGCGCGTCATTCAGTTTCGCTTCTCTCTCTCCTCCTCTTCGCTCCGTCTCCCTGATTGTCTGTTCAGACCAACGACTGGGCCATCACAACAGGCATGACCAATATAACAAGTATTCGCATAAAAAGCTCGGAGTAACAGAACACTATAAGTTTCAGTAATTGCTTGATTATATCCAGTTTGATGAGTAACATTTGGCTGTCCATTGATTGTTTCCTAAAATAGGTAAGTCAGGGTGATTTATTTCTAGCTGCAGCACAATCATTTTTTTCACCTTAAAAACTCGGAAGATTAGAGACTGAGACCAGTCAGTGACGATTACTTAAAACTTCAGTATATAGTTCTGGTTTCAGGCACTACAGTCTTTCACACTAGTGTTTTGTATGTTTTAATAACCATCTTTGAAAACTTCGTTAGGGATTCTGGTTAGCGATAAGATATATTATACTACTGCAATCAGAAATACAACTTGTCCATCGGACAAGAAATCAAGAGATATAAATCTTATCACTGTTGAATCTACTTATACGAGAGACAGTAAAAGTATTCTATTATATGTTACATAGTTTAGTCACTAAGGTAAATATATATGTTTACTGCACCGATACAGTGAATAAGATATCACTCGTATAAAAGTAAAAATAATTATATCTGTATTTACGAAGCCATCTTAACTGTGGAATCACATTAAAACGACCAAAACACCTATCATGTCTGGAATCCATTATTATTATTTATTTCAAATCGTTAAATTGGCAAAATTGATCATATATGGATAAAACTCATAAGAGTAGGTTTTTCAATAATGCATTTCTGATCATAAATACAACAGCCAGAAATAAATTTACTACGGATAAACACATCGAAACGCCATGTTCATAAAAACCTGTACAGTGTAACACAAAATTTAGCTATTGCTTTGTTAAACAATCAGCAATAAATTATACGGTACTGAGACTTATCAAAAATATAAGGAGGCAACACACTTTTAGTGAATATATATCTTAAGAATTCTTCCTTTTAGCCAGTAATTCCCACCATTTAAAGAAGTAATCATGAATGAGTGAATTGTCTTGAACCCAACTTAATGGGGTTTTTTTCATTTGAATAACAATTACAATGAATCCTATTTAAAACGATTTAGCGCTGTTATGCAGAGTGAAACTCATAATCTTAATAATATATCATATGATATCTGTTATTTAAATGAAAAATGTACAGCATTAAGAAGTTGTATAAAGATATTCTCACCTACAAAAATGCAGGTAAACAGTCAGCATCACTTGAGTATTTTACCATTAAACAAAACTTTAATCATATATTTATTCACACAAATATATATATTACTCTGACGTTGCCTTTATTTATCTGGTCCAGTCTTTATTTACTTAAACACAAACATTGGTACAAGGAGACACCACATATGTGTGCATCACTCGCTTTATGTGTGGGCCATGATACTGCCCGGATATCCAGATAGAAGCATGTGGTTTTCTTAGGGGGGAGACTTCCCGAGCATTTTGCCTTAAGGTCTTATCTACAAGGCAGTAGAGCAACGTTGGGAGATGAAGTCCAATGGTAGCCAGTGACCAACAATAGGTTCCTACACTATTTGTTCCCTCAAAATCCTGGAGCCCATATGTACCATTGGTTCGGAATCAGGGTTTTCCAACTCCTCTAGGTGGATCTTCCATACCCACTAACCCGGTTAAAGCATTGGACATTCGCTTTTCGTCCTCTCAATTTCGTAAACAACACCCCTGCCACAAAGAGACAGTGAGTAAGACTTCCATGTCAGTCGCTGTATAAGCGTTGTTATGTAAGGGTATTTTGAGAGGGAGAACTGACTCTCCCCATTCTAGACCGTACCAGGGCATTTGGAGGCAGGTCTAGTCTGGTCTATTAACTAACAAATAATAAAGAAAATCTGTGATTAAAAACAGCAGAAAGAAAAAGCTTGAACAAATAATAAGTTTTTTAAACGTTATCTTCATACAAAGCTAGAAAATAAAAATCACTGGTAACTGTTACAACATAATAAATATAGTAACCGTCAGAATCAACTATTACAAACAAAACGAGTGTACATCCGTTTTTTACGAATTCATTTAAAACTAACAAATAATCTAAATCTTCATGACTTATAAACTGTTTACTTTTATGAACCTTTTTAATTCTCAGCTTCACTAAAACAAATTTTATCAGACAAAGCGACATTAAACTAGTGTCTATGAATACAGACACTGTAGTGGACACTAGTGGCAAAATTTCTTGTAAGTAGTGTGTAGCGGGACGTCACATCGAAGTTGCTATAATTATCAGACGGAGTAAAAAGTTTCAGTGCATTGAAAACACAATGCTGGCAGAACACTTGGAGACCAGACGAGAAGATAGTTCAGGTAACAGAACACACCGAAAGATGCAAACGAACGATTGAAGGCTATACATAATGTATTATATAAGTACTTTGTAACTTTACACAAACATATTCCTCCTGTCTACTGTTGTGTTTTAAAGTATAATTGTTATTAGAAAAAAAATTACTTATTACTAAGAACACTGATCATGCTGCAAAAAAAACTACAATTCTTATTCAAATACATATGAAATATGAAGCTTTTTTTATTCGCCAAATATCAATAATCAGTGAGGGGAAATTATTTTAAAAAATGTATACAATAACTGAAACTATAAAGAAACAATTTCGATATTAATTAATAAAATATGAAATGTGTATTTCAGTCATCATTAAATGAATAAGCCATAAATTAAAATTAAACAATTACAAATAATAAATAGTATTGGAACAAACAATTTGTTTGAAAACAATTACCCTATTACTTTTGTCAATCAAGTCAAGTTTACAAGGATATAGCAAATGTAAACAGAAAAGACAAAATTATGTATAAAAAAAATTCAACTGAATATGTAAATATAGCGTCAAAAGCTTTCCAGATTAAAATAAACGTAGACCTACAAAGTATTACAGTGTATATTTTGTAAGTACATATTTTCTTGTTTTTTCTTCTATCATATTTTAAATGGATGATTTGAAAATTGAACAATGAACACAGATCAAAATTGTTCAATCCACATTTTATTATACATGATAAGATAGTGAAAACAAAAATAAAGCAAAGCAGTGTGTATAATACTAACAACATCAGGAAGAAAACATAACTTGAACGAAAAGAAAACAAACATGCTAAAACAAATAATATTTGAAAAAAAACTTATTATACTGATAGATCATATTAAACTGATAAAAGAAATAAAGAATTAATTAGTGACAGTTTTTGACTAAACCATACACCAGGATTATTAGTCTAGGGAAATGAAGATCATTTCAAGGCAAAAACATTGTTTGAAGGGCAGACTATATATATATATATATATATATATATATATATATATATATATATAGAGAGAGAGAGAGAGAGAGAGAGAGAGAGAGAGAGGGAGGGAGGGAGGGAAAGAAAAAGCATGATATGTTTGCGGTAAATTGTAGCACTGACCTAGTATATAGTTACTGAGAGATTAGCATAAATCGAATAATCAATTATATTATTTAGGATACACGATTCCTGTAAAGAAATAAATAAATAAAACAAAGTATTACGACAATATATGAATAACTCATTAGCATACAATTAATTTCCAAATTGAATTATGATGACTGAACAATACCACTCACCATACAGAATTAATATTGTAATAGGTATTAAACGTGAGATACTCAGTTCAGAGATTTCAACCGATTAACTTTGCATATATTGAAACTACATCCTTGTTTTTATTCCAATTTTAATTATTTGTTGTAGTTATAGTTTCACTAAAAATTTACAATGTGTTAAGGAATTAAACACTGAAAAATGAAAAATCAGCGATGAAAGGTAAATAGATTTTTTTCTGTGTATAATATTTGGAGAAACAAGAAATAATTGATTACATTGAAACTTATGCATTCGCTGGTGAATTTGAACAATGAGTGACTACTAGAAATGTTCTTCACTAAGGTATTTGAATATTTACAAGTTGAATGGATATTAGAAGAATATCTTACAATATTGTGTATTTTTAAACAATAATGGATGGTGGCTAGCAGTGGAATCTAGAACGTGCGTTTCGTCCTACCTGGGACTCGTCAGATGGATGTGCCTGCATCCCAGTTAATCGAACCCAATACCATTCGCTTTAAACACCATCGCGTCATCCACTTAACTGCTGAGTCCTGATAACCACTTGCTTGTTCGAGGGGGTGAAGTTTAAATTCATTTTGTTTGTAATACCAAATGAATTATATATTTTTGCTGATAAGAATTCTTTACTATAACCAAGAATAATGATTTTTGAATAAGGTGTTTACCATAATTATTAGTTATTTACAATATTTCCTGAATTCCGACATAAAATATGTATGTATTGTTAACTGTTATAGACTTAATTAGGTTATCACTTGTGAAATAAAACGGAGATTTTCATATATAAATACACCAAATTACTGATCATATTGAATGGTCAAGTTATATACTTTAAAACAACTGAGGTAGCGAATATAAAGTTATGAATATTAATGTAATAGTCTGAAAATGTCACATTCGTTGCAAGACCTGAAGTTTTTTTTTCTAGGCGATTTCATGTGCTCACGCGTAGTTAATTACTGATAGGAGTTCAAAACTAGTAAAATACAAACGTTTTCCAGTTGTGTGTCACATGTATTCTCTAATTATTTCTCAGTTGATCTTAGTACATGAAAAAACTACCTTTAAACTAGAAAAGCACTTCAACTATTAAATCTTACTTAAATAAAAATTATGAATGTAAGTATAGAAAAGAAAATCAAAGTAAAAATAGAATGAATTCTTGAGATTTGCTTTGTAATTGTGAGTGAATTTAGGAGAGAAATAGCTTCATAGTGAAAAAAATAGTGAAATTAATTCAAAATAAGACGTTAAAAGTACCTGTGATTATTTCTATCACTTGTACATGATACAGAAGGTGAAACGAGACCATTTCTTATTGAATCACTTAGATTGTGTGATGATATAGAATTTGATTGGTTTTGTACGGATGAACTAAGTACACTAGATGTCTGTGATATATTATGCAACTGACTGGTCGATAAAACACTTCTATTAGAAATTCTACTATCTCCAATACTATTTGTCTTTTCGCATAAAGTTTTCATGTTTGAATTTGGATTGCCAATAAGAGATAGTCGATATATAGGACGATAAGATACTCCAAGTGAGCTAGCTTTTTGTCCAGTACGTACAACGTCAAAAAGTGTAAGCTTTTTAAAATAAACAAATAAACAAGTTATTGGTTTAATTTATCAATTTTAAATAATAGAAATTAGTAAAAAAATATTTGGTCGACATATTATGGTATATAAGTTTTCAAAATTTATAACATATAAATGTGTAGAATATTTGGTCACCATAAAATAAGAGTTGACCATACATTTCAACACATACAAAAATCTATGATTCTCGTGTAAATGGATTCATTGTTTTATGGAATTATACTAAATAGAAAAGCAAACATGAAGATTACATGACATCTCTAAAGTGCTTTACTTGAATTTCTGCATAAAATAAATTGATAGTGGTCAATATTCGAGATGTAAACATTCAACAGATTTAATTTTGCTTCAATCTCGACGCATTATTTTTCAGAAAACATTATACAAAAAAAGACCAATACTTACAAATGAACTTGCCTAATTACATATTTCTCAAAACACCTGGTTTTAACAGACTTGGAGTGTAAAGGAAAGAGAAGTATTATAGATTTATTTGATAATATATTTAAATATTTGGACTGTGCAAAATCTTATACTCTATTATACAGGAAAAAGCGTGAACACTAGTCCCACTGTTTCTGTGAAGTCTCAAGAAAATAATTATTTTCGGAAACACACTTGTAAAAGTGTAAGACTAGATATAATGGATAAGACCAAGTTTAAAAGAGATAATTCTACGTTTCCATACAGCCATATCTGTATTCACAAGTATCTGGTTTGGATAAATGGTTCAATGTTATACTTATGATTATGTAAATCATTCATACATGAAGTATTTTGTGGAGAAAAAAAAGTAAGAACTCAAGCTCCAGAACGCAAATTTCAGTCGATTACATGAACTCGCAGTGTCTTAAGGATAAATCACACGCCATAAAGTAATAACCATTTACAGAATGTATACATACTTGACCAGGTGCCAACTGATAAAGTCCGAGAGCAGGTCCAGGAACATAACACGAAGTATTTACATTTATACTGCCAGGTTGAGAAAATACAACTGAACTGACTGCAACTACATCATGGGAATCCAGCAAATGTAAGGTATCCATTCGTCGAAGTTGCGGCATACTAAGCAAAACAGCTTGACCACCAACATTTGTAAAAACAAATGAATATTCACAGTTTTGATTTGTTTGAGATGTTACAGATATACCACTTGCATTTGAACGTTCAAGATCACCACAAGCAGAATCAACTATTATGTAAGTAAAGATGGAGATGAAGAACAAACTAATAAATAAATAACCGTAACTCTTATAACAACGTGCGTCATAATACAGAACAGACAAAATGTGGCTAGTAGTGGGTTTAAGAACGCGCGTTTCGTCTTATTTGGAACGAGTCAGATGGATATACCTATACAGAAATCGGTGTTCACTTCAGGACTCGAGACCAGTACCGTTTGCTTTAAACGCTGACGTTTTATTCAGATAGCTAGGGAGTCCAGATAGCCACTTATTTATGGAACAGGTACGCGTTTTAATTCGACTGAAAATAGATTAGATTATCCCGTTGGTGTTATTTTACTGAAATTTGGTCAGTCCTGATTGACGTATGTGGATTGCTTTGATATAGCCATTACAACACAAGTCAGTATAGACTCACTCACTTGTGCAACGGGTAGCCAAGCCATTTCAAATTGAAATAAAACGTAAGTGGTCGGAAAAAAAAATACAGAAATTATCCACATAAAATGTGATTTCTAATTACTAACCAGTGGATTCTTTTGATAATGATGAACTGGTTTTTCCGTGTATTCGAAATCCAACTACTGAAGCAGATTTGATACGATAACCATCAATAGCGGTAATACGAGCTTTGAATTTTAGGTGTAAATTAGGCAAATTAAATAATCGTATTTGTTCTTCACTCACAACTGATAATACAGGTAGATTATGAGATTTACCAGAATCAGATATGTAATGTTTGTAATCTATATGAAAAAGAGAATAGTATATCGAGTAATGGGAAACAAGGGGAACAAATGTATCTAATTACAATGATCGAGTGCAAACTAGACAGTTAATTTCAGAAAACTATGTTTAATGTGACTCATTTATCGAGTATAGACAATAAGAATACTCAGCTCTGAGTGACCAGCGTTTTTTTCGAGGACTCTAAAACAAAGTAGAGTGAGACTTGAACCCGTTACCAATATGGTTTGAAAGTCGAATGATTTTCAACCACTAAACCAACGGCTGTTACACTTTGGATCTTAAATTACATCTTTCCTGCAACTTGTAGAGTATGTTAAAAGAAAACCAATATGGAGAACAAAGTGTGACAATAATGATTTAATTTAGTTAAAGTGAAAACAACACTATGTTGTACGAAAGATAGTAATATTAAGTAATACTAATCGAAACACAGATACACATATTCTTATGTAACCAGTGAAACTTATTACAAATTCGAAATGACTAGACTGTTAATTGATTTCAACCAGGTTACTTAATATATTTCAATCTACAAGGATATTCTTTATTATAAAAAGATGTTTTATTTCTGAATACTTTAAACAAACAACAATTCGATGGAACTTTATTGTAAGTTTGTTTATTTTAGTGAATCATTTCAATTCATGCTAAAAATAAATATAATTTGTTACTTGTTTCAATGTTTATTAATTTTCTGTATTCATATATTTAAAATTTATTCTGCACCTCTCTGTGTATATTTCATGGTATTGATTAATGTAGTAAACGGCACAATTTGAACACTATATTTGTACTAATTTATTGGCTTTATGTAGAAAAAAAATTTGTAAGAGAAAAACACTCTCAAAGTTCGATATTGATACTTTAATAACTCTACTTACAACAAACTAGACGATTAATATCGTCAAGCTAGCTTACTAAATATGACTGTTTTGGGGAGTACGTGTGAAGTAGAGTTACATATGTACGAAATATTTAAATGATTATCGGTTCGGCATCCAATAATAGAAATATAACTTCTTTAACAATAAAACCAATTAGAGAATTACTAAAATCTAAATGATTTTGTTATAATTTCGTGAGAATAATATGTATGGGATGATTTCTTCTACCCTTAAAGAAAAAATTTGTAAGTATTACAATTGTAATATCGTTAACACATACCCGATAATGAGTAAGGCATATTTGACTTAGCATCGATTAGACGAAGTGATAGAACAGGAGCACGATGTTGTAAAATAAGTTCTCGAGAATAATACAGTTGTAGTTTAGGCAGAACGCTAGAATTTAATGTTGTTTTGTCAACAAAAATAGAATATAATTTAACAGTTCCAGCTTTAGTACCAATAAAAAGTGTAGCAACTGGATGTAACATTGGACGAGAATTTGATGGACTTGATTTAAACAATGGTGGACCAAATGCAAAACAGGATACAATAGCTACATTAGCAGTATCTTGAACACGATCGCATATTTCTCTTTCAACATTATACTGTGATATTAATAATATATTCTCATCTGGGACACGTCCACTACGTCTTTCTGCTTCATCAAGAGGAGCCACATCAGTTTGATTGGGAGCAGCACGATTAGACTTAGATAAATATAAAAGATATATGCATAATTCAGAATATGCTATGGAACCATTTGTATGCGTGACCGAAAATGGAATATACAGTAATCGAAAGTAATTACATCGATTTCCTTAAGTTGGAGAATTTAGATAATAATTCATCACGACAGTGAATAGCTTTTTCTTTTCATTATTTACAGCCTTAGTGAAAACCTCTTTAAGAAAATAAACCAAATTGGTTCAGAAGCTGAAAATACATATTTTACAACTTAACGATTTCGAATCCATTAATATTGAAGCATAACAAAGTGATATGAAAATCAACACACTTAAGTATCGTTCGAAGATGTAATAAGCACTTTCAAAATTCACTTCATACTATTTTTCAATAAGTTATGTTTCAGTAAACGTCAATACAAGGTTGAAGTAGAGATTCAGTCGTACACTGATTATTAAATTTACTACTCAATTTTGTTACAGTCAAGTTGGAATATAGTCACTGGTCTAAATAATTTAGCATTGAAATAGACTGTTTAATGTTGAGGGTCTGAAAACTATTCGACGATTAGCAATTCAAAGTCATATAGACTAGTGACTAGAATGAAAATCAATCGACAGATCATGATCAATGCTAGAGATTAAATAGTATGACACTGGTTACCACTCAGTGATCAGTCAACGTTAAAAAGAAAACTAGAAGTATATGTTAGCGCAGCCTTAACAACTTAGTGGTATTGACTTTGATTGTAACATACATTTTGATCCTACAGCAAACACCAATTTTCCCAAAGATTGCAAATATACATTGTTTATGAATGCCAACTGGTAATAAACTTATCGACTACCTATAACCACTTGATATATCGACTTTTTATCTGGCTACACAATATAGAGACGATGGAGTCTACTATATGAATCTGTACCTTATTACTTAAGAGAATATTTTTTGTTTGTTTAAGCTCACGTAAAACTTATTAAGAAACTCATTTCACAAAAACGACAAATGGTATTCGAAAAATAATTTGAAGTGAACTGATGACGACTGATTAGATTTTATTAGTTTATTTAGTTCAATTAACTTATTGCTTCTTTAAATAATTAAATAAATAAACCTAAAATGGTTAAAAGAACCTACTTGAGTAACAGTACGTCGAATGCCAGCACGACTAACATTAGCAGTAGAAGCTGGGACAACTGGTTGAAATTTGATTTAGTTGATCGTACTCTTTTAAGACGTCGAAACGAATCACGAAGACTTTTTTTAAGTTCTCGAGTACGTCGCCTTGCCCAACCCTCACCAGCAGCAGCTTCTTGAAGAGCATCAATATTATCCGGTATTGTTGACACAGCAAGTAATGGTTGAGGAGGTAATGGTTTTTTTGTATTTGAATCATTATTAGATAAAGGTTTCGGTACAAAAACTACACCGAAGCCATGTGGTGTACCAAGAGCAAGTAAAATTTGTAAACCGCCATCACCACCAATGTTATTTGTTTGGTTTTGACTAAATTCTTTTAGATGAGTTAATTCAAATTCACTTGAAAGAAGTGATGTAATACGTGCAGGAGGCTGTACGAAAATAACTCCTGTAGCTTGTAATTGAGCAGGGAGTGGAGTAGCTTGTTCTGGATTAACAGTGATCTTGTTACTAAAGCATTTTCGAAGCTAAAAACACAGTAAAAGAAACTACTTCGTATTAGTCGAAAAAAACATAACAGGAAAAAATAAAAGGTTCAAAATTCGAAATTTTTTCAAGCCTAACAAAGTGTTAGATATCTTTACTCCAAAAGTACTGGTAAACTTACAACTTTAAAATTATGTTTGGTTGCTTAAGCAAACAACTAGGAACGAATATTAAGGAATATACCAACCTCAAGTATTAAATAATTAATAGGTGAGTACAAGATTGTTTAGTTAGGGATATTCTGGCATTATTTCATCGTCCGCGTTCGAACTGTGCAAAAAATTAGATATATCTTGATGCTTGTAAAACGGTAAACGAAAACCACTGGTTGAATGTAAAACCTAGAAAAGTATTGTTTTCATTGAATATTGTCTAGTCGATTAGAATCACAAATTGCCTTGTAAGATACGTTCAAAAAACCTGCTTCATTAAATTCATGTGATACTTCAAAGCTGTTTTTAACTAAATACCTTTAGTCTCCTCACAATTTTTTCCGCTTCGCAAACTTAACACTTGTAACTTAGAATAAATAACGCTGTAAAATAAGTACATGAGGTGAACTAAACAGAGGTTTCTTACAAAACGTGAACAGAAGAGAACCAATAAAACAGGAAGTTAAATAAAACTCCCATACGAGAGTGACAACCATCTATGTTGACGATTTATTTTTAATCGTTCTGTAAAAAATTTTCAAACAATGGTCATATTACTTTGATATACATACATTTGTCCTACAAAAAGAACTTAAAGGTGTGTAATAGAAAGCATACAAACTTAGTATTCCTTTCATACTTAACTACCAAATTTAATCCGATAATAGGTTGTTAATGAATAAGACTGACAAGAAAACATAATCCAGATAACATGACGAGTTGAAGATGTAATCAAAATAAGGTAACTTAAACAACACTGAATAGATTTATCACGTTTTCAATTACATTTCATTTCTCACAACTAATTTTACATAAATTGGAATTAAAAAATATTTACTGGTAATGAATAAAACATGAACTATTTACTGTAAGGGGAGCATGTCCTTTCCATTGAAATCCGGGCATTGATTTTTTAATTGTTACAATTGCAGGTTCAATACACGGAGTGAAATTAAGAAATTGATATACAATTGCCTAAAAGAATGAAATATGTGAATGTTAGAATAGATACATACACTCAAACATTTACATTACTAATCACATTCATTTATAATGAAATGAGAAATAAAATACATAATTACAGGAGAAAAAAAATCAATTATTCACTCATGTATTCAATGGACCTTAATAATTTCTGATTGGTTCCATTTATTTGTGTATATTTTAAAATTAATTAATTTTGATTGTTAGATTTACAATTATATGAGTTTAAACAAAGCTATTGAGTTTAAAGGTGGAAGAATAAAAAAGCTGTTTCAATTTATTATTCAATATATGATAAAGTATGAAACAGTATTATTTTCTATAATTATGTATGAATAACTAAGGTTAAATTACTTTTATTTTGTGTGACATAACATATGCAAATGATTTAAATAGAAAAAGGTGTTTCACACTTTGTTCCATTTTAAAATGAAAGTACACTACATACCCATACAAATTAATCTTATTTTTGATGATTCATTAAGTGGAGCTGAATAACCAATAATAGTGGTGATAATAATAGTAGTAATAATCGTAGTAATAATATTAATTTACTCGCTTTATTCAGTACCATACTTCTCAATACAAAATATTTTTTTAAAAAATGAAACGGAATTTCCGTTTTATGAGCATTAACTCCTTAGCAGTGCCGAGAAGTTCCATATTAGGATGAAACGACTGTCTAGTTCTTCCAGGTTTTCAATGTTGGTCTAACATTGGTCGGTTCATGATCGCAATTAAAAATCAACAATATTTACAACCCCAAACTGATAATAAATGATAATTTAGAAAAATAATGGCCTAAAAGTTTTAGAAAGCGACTGATACAAATAATAATACATTTACTAACTGGAAAGAACGCAGCAATTTAGCTGAGATATTAATGGGATCATATTTAGTTTTCTTACTCATAATGCCTGATTTTAGTAAGATATCCGAAGAACTATCATTTGCTTTCTTATGAACAGCTAACTAATTATCAATATAGCAAACGATCAAAAGTTAACTGTCATTATTATTTTTCAGAGATAAATATAAATTATAGAAATTTACACCAGTTTTATGTCTCTCAAACGCCCTTGTACGGTCTAGGGTGGGGAGAGTCAGCTCTTCCTCTCGAAATACTCTCACATGGTCACGAGTATACAGCCACTGTCAAGAAAGACCTATCACTATCTTCTGAGGACAGATTGTTGTTTACGAAACCCCGAGGATGAAAAGCGAGTGTCCGGTGCTTTACCAGGGTTGGTGGGTATCCAGGATCCACCTGGAGGAGTTGTAAAATCCTGATTTTAAACCAATGTTGTACATGGGCTCCAGGATCCTGAGGGAACAAATGGTGTATAAACCTATTGTTGGTCGCTGGTTACAACTAGACTGCATCTCCCAATGTTGCTCTACTACCTTGTGGATTAGATCTTTAGGTAAAAATACTCGGGAAGTTGCCCCCTAAGAAAACCATCTGTTTTGATTTGGGCGCCCGGGCACTATCCAAACCCTCACACAAACCGAGTGACGAAGCGTGATGCAAATATATGTGGTGCCCCTTTGTACAAATGTTTATGTGTTTAAATAAATAAATAACTCCTGTACTCATCAATAAGAATTATTTGAAACTTTATAGAAAGCTTTATTAACTGCCAACAATAATCCGAAAGTCAGTTGCTCAACACTAAAATCTAGTGTACTTATCCAACGATCCTATCAACACTATGAAGTAAAACATCAAGTTAAATACAATTATATTTCATTCAAAATAGGTAAACACATTTTATACTACTCAAGTAATCTATAAATGAAAACCTTTGATATTTGACAAATCAGTCAGTCATAAGCGATGTACAACTTGGGAAATGTGTGCTTGATACACGTTCTCACAGCATATCAGCACGAGATCAGATTATTAACACAAATATTGGGGTAGTATAAAGATTAATAGTGTCAATAGTGATAGAAAAGATTAAGTACAGGTTAAGTACTACTTATATGGTTCAGTCCAATACTGTATGACTCCAACGATTGATGTGACATTTTGGATTGTCCGACTCAATTTTATAAAAATATCCATAAGAATTAAAACCAAACTTACTTTTAAGTACGACCACTATCAATAATTAGTCTGGACAATTACAGGACCTTTAAAATAATCATTAGTTTATAAGTAAGACTGTACCGATGACGAATACTCCATAGTTATGGATATGATAAAAAAATTTTATAAACATTTTACAGTCACATAAACTGATAATTAATGATCCATAAAGAGTAAGCTTCTAATGAATTCATATTATAGCAAGACAGTATACCTAATTACTAACAACGTGAAGAGGAAGACACAATTGACCATAAAGATAGTACTGATAACAAACTGAGATGCATTTTATCAGAAAATGTTTATTAGTGTATATAACAGATTTGGATAGGAAAGCTATCGTCTCATTACTGATATATATATCATGAGTTTTCTAAGTGACTTAAGGATAAGAAAATTTGCATAATCGAATAGTTGACAAAAAAACACTATGCAAATACTGTAAATTTAGGGACTTATAGATGGAAAAAATTACAAGAATTCAAGTTTACATTAAGCTATAAATATTCTGTTATCTCATGATACTTTAGACGTAAAATAAAGAGAAAATGAATACTAACAGACAAGGCTTACAATGTAAAACATCGTCAATATGTCACTGAAGTAATAAATATATACATTTTTATATATACAGGAAATAACAACACAAAATAATATAACAAAATAATGATTTTATTAAAAAGGATTCACTTTTCTAAATTTATGATACAAGAAATGTACGAAATCGTGTATGATAATAAAATGAACATATACACGGCTTATATATTTAGTAGTGTTGTAGGATAAATAACAAAATGGTTGATCAATAAAATGGATAGCTAGAATTTCACGTCAAACACTGATCACTGACATAGGAGTGATTATAAAAGAGAGTTTAACAAATAGTTTAAAGCACACAAATATAAAAGATGACAACTGATAAAGACAACGTTATATACTGTTTATTATGTAAACAATATAATGAATATTCGAGTAGATAAAGGAATTGTTTACAATTTTTCATAAATTTATTTTCATTTTAATGGAATAAAATTTGTGTAAAGTCGTCAAGTTAGTCATTTGTTGGATATAAAACACGGTTCTAATCAATCAAACTTAATCGACAGATTATTAGATTGATCCATAAACGAAAAAAGAAGGGTACCATTCTTTTTTCATCTATATATAAATAAACTTGATAAAATGCTACCGGTCAGTCAAATGCAATGTACAACTTGCCATGTGTATTCATCGGTTCAAGTTGCCATGCCCCATCAGCACAGAGCGACGAGATCGTCAAAACAAATCCCAGAGTAGTAGATGTAGTAAAATCACTATTGGTAATAGAGAAGATTGGACATCGAACATACGACTCGAGGAAAAAAATATAAATTAGTGAAATAATACAGAAACTTAGAAACGACGGGAAGACAAAGAGTGAATTTACCTGCTAACGATTGTGAACTATGTCATACTGCGGTAAGACTAAGTGCAGCAAACTCATAGTCCGAGAGAAAAGTCGTACTACTGACTCTACTGAGATGAGACGGAAGTAAAGTGCTTCTATCAGGCAATTAGCATCTGCAGCAATGTTGCCTTCCCATGATGGGAAGAAATATCATTCCACTGTGTGGGAAACCAAGGAATGACAACTGTCTTCATACCTGTCACAGCACTAGAGATCTTTTAGTTCATGATCAAATCTTCTCATCACTTCTCGATAAGAAGTCTTACTTTATTCACAAATGAAAAGTTTTTTAAAAGCTTAAAATAATAAGAAGCAATAATATATGAAAGCATGTAATGACTATGTATTGATAGACGGCGACTAAAAAATTTATGTAAACAAGAAATAAAAAAGGTAGTTTAGTAACTCAAAACAATTGGAATGGTTTTTATTCCTTTGGGAAGTTTAATAACCAAGTACAGATGGAGATTCCAGGTTTTGGGAGACTTTGGATGAGGGTTAATTTTAGTATGTAGCTATTCAAAATGAAGGTATGTAGAGTAGGGGGTTTAAATCTGCTACTGTGTTTTAAAAATGAGTAGTTTAACCAATTAGCCACAGCTCAATCGAAATTTAGAAACTAGGAGGAAAATTTGACTATGTGAAGTAGTAAAATGGATTAGGAATTTCACTGGCAAAATACTAATAAGGTAATATTTTTCAAACTCCTTCAGATAAGAATATTTAATTGCTGAATAGATATAATTAAAGACAGGTTGAATAAGATTAACTACAGTATTTAATTACATCAGTGAGATGAAGATTTATTTACCTATTTTCATGAGCATTTTATCATTAATTAAAGCCTCTAATAATATTGTGAAGGCTTGGCCAAAAAGCCTATATTACAGCAACGAGAATTTATGCCCTATCATGACAGCAATCCACAAAGAAATTTACCATATAGAAAAAAGGAATAGAGGTCGAAGCCGAAGAACGAAAGTATCGGAATTCGGAGTTGCTGTAATTCAAGTTACTAATGTAGTTCATTTAATGAATCAAAAGATACTCACGGATCTCCATTAGTCAGTTTTAACTATGATTTATTCTATTTCACATGGAAAAATACAAAACTGACGAAGTACTCTATCGAAACAAGATTACTTCAGTCACTACATTTACACACAGTTTGAAAACATATTACATTTTTGTATAAAATATTGCTATATGACAAAGTTATCTAAATCTCAATCACAACAAACACTTGTCATGTCAAACTGATACTTAATATAACAATGAATTTTCTCACACAGATTACTTAATTCATTACACACAGAACTAATCAGTTTAAATTACGAATCCTATAAAATCTTGTCTAATAATACTTATATAGAAGATTGTTTACGATTTAAATGAAAATCTTATCACCGATTTCTGTATGGAGAAATTTAGTATTGAATATTACTAGTAGTAAACAATATACACGATGGATACGGGGACAAATAATATAACTAAAGAGGAACCTACACTATGGATACATTCAAATCAACAACATTCACGTTGCATTCAAGTGTTGCACGAGCTGAGGTATAAGGTTTTATCATTGGCAAAGTCAGTCAACAAAACTTATCACAGATAATTAGTTAGTATCTTTCAAACTGTATAACAATTTTACCTATAAATTTGTACAATTCATTGAACAGAAACCATTTCACTTGTCACATGGTAAAAAAAAGTAATCAGATATTCAAAAACTATAAAATATCGGTATTTGAAATAGAAACCCAATTGCAAGACTGAACTCGCAGTTTTCTAATATTACAAACTCTTATCAAAATATTTTCACACATTTATACAGGTAAATCCATTTAAACTTAATAATCTTGTAAAGTGAAAAAGCAACAGTCGTTTTATTTTCATTAACTGGTATTATTTTGTATTTAAAGTTTTAGATGGATAAGTGGACAAATCTTATTGTATAAGAATAGTGATAAATGATGAAATATATATCTTACCTGACCTGCAGCTCCACCCACAACCAGTGTATTATCAACAAGATAAATGAATTGTATAGCTACTCTGCTATCGTCCATGAAAGGGTCAAATACACCTGCCTGACGAAAGGGAGGCCATGCATCGCCATCATCATCAACACCATTAGGATGATCCTAAAGTAAATAGATAAATTGGAAAGATTACTTTACATGATGAAGCGGTGCGCAAAACCATGTGATATTCGACGACAACTGATGATAACAGACTTGTCCTAAATGTCGTACAAATAAGCGGTTGTGTTTTTTTTTAAAGGTAGTCAAACCAACTGGAGTATTTTAGGAGGATAAATCCTGATCATCTAAAAATCCATCATCCTAATAAGACATTTGAAGTGAACTATCATTCATGTAAGAGAGACGGAAAAGGTACTTTAATATTACTGAAATAGCTGGCTTTGATACTTAGTGTAGGTATAGTGACCAATTAAAAATAAAGCTTAAAGTATTTGAAGCAAGCTTCGTAAGAAGTCTGGAAATCGAATAAGCAACACAGATTGAAATACACTAATTTTGAGATGAATGAAGACGAAAAATTCGATAGAATTTTTTATTTGTGCAAATCATTTACTACGTGTAGGTTTGTGTATTCGCCCTTGAGCTACATTATGTTAAGGCTGGTGACACTACTCGGTTTCTTGAACCAAGGCGAGTGCGGTGAAGTTCAGGCCTGAAATCTATTGGTTCATAAATAATCGCTTCTAACCACTACACCATCACCTAATCATTGTACGTTATTTTGCACAAAAAATAAAAATAAACCTTTCTCAACTAGAATATATCGACTTCAGATTATCATACGCAGATAATGTTTCTCAACGAAAGCTAGAAAGATGATACGAGTTCGATACTTTTAACAGTGTCTCAACACTTTTACCTATAAAACCGGACAAACATTTTTGTCATCATCTAATGCAGATTCATTATTGATTGATTAGTGGTGAGCGTGGGATTCATAATTACTGGAAATCAAGAAGTGTCTTAAAAACCAAGAATTTATTATTGTGAGACTCTTTAGAAAGAAACCACTGTATATATGATTCACGAAAACCAGTTTTTTCTATTTATTGTTTGTAGTTTCAGTAAGTCTCGACCGTAGCTGCTACTTTGATGCGGTGGTCGGGCATGCCTGTCGTGATGACCCAACCGAGCTATATTGGCTGTAACATATGTTCCTGTAGGTTCTACCATACCAGGCAGGTCGATTGGAGAACGGTAAGACTAAAAGCAGCAACTCATGATCTGAGGGTGAAGTCGTATTGCTGACTGTAGAGGGGTGTGACAGCAGTAAGGTGTTTTCCTCGGACAACCAGCATCTGCAGCCCTGCTGACTTCTCACAAGGAAGGAAGGGGTTAGAAAAGGTTGATCCTAAAAACGTCACGCCTAACCTTACCTCACGGATTTTCGTCTTCGGCGGTAAGGCCCTTTGAAGAACGGAGCTAACACGTCAAAAAAAACCACAAAAAGACCGTGCGCGACCGACCTCAAGCAGTTGTCCCTTGGGCTCTTTGGTCACGCTCCCAGGTCGTTGAGGCCAACATTAATCCAACTTCCTTTTCAGGTTCCTCAAGAAATACCCTTCCACGGTGTGGGCAGCAGGGAAGTGACATCAGCTCTCATACCCATAACAGCACACGAGACCAAGTTATTCACAATCAAATCCTTCCTACACCTCCTAACAACTCTCTTATCTCCTCGACTAACCCTTCTCACGTCCCTTATCACCTCGCGCCGCTAATGCAAACGATTCGAGTACGCGGAACGTTACTCCTCATCTCCTGAAACCACACTCTAAACTACATGAAGAAGCTTTTAACGTCCGAACATTGTGCCATAGAAAACAACAGGCTTCCTTAGCTAGGACTTTAAAATCTCGCGCCATTAATCTGTACTGCGTCTCCGAAACGCGCATCAGTCAGTCAGTCAGTCAGCTACAACGTAGGACCAGGCACATATGTGCATCGGTCCAGGTTGCCATACCTCATTAGCACAGCAAGATGAACACTGGATTCATAGGAGTGGTTAGGTCAAAGGTGGTAATATATAGGAGAAAGATTGCAATAAGGATATAGTATAGGAAGAAAGAATTAGTTCGTAGAAAGAAAGATGTGAAGTGATCTTAATCTCTTAGTTTAAGAGAAGACAGAGAGTGTATACACCGACGCCATTGTGATCGATTCTGAGCCATGTCACCAAGGGTCTCCAACCATTGGTTACGAAAGTCACGCGGACCCCAACCAAGTAGTCTGCATCTACCAACATGGCTCAGACTAGAAGTTAGTGACTTCAGGCACTGATGCCACGTTTTGGTTTGGCCGCCCCTAACTTTCTTCCAACCATCCCCTACACCGGTTAGCATTGCACGTCGCGGTAATCGGTGTTCAGGCATACGTAATACGTGGCCCAACCATCTCAGTCGATGAAGATTCATAACCTCATCAACTGATTTACCATCATTCCCTAATACCCTGCGTCTAACCTCACTATTACTTACCCGGTGATCCCAGCAGATGCCAGCAATATTTCTAAGGCATCTGTGGTCAAATACTAGTAGCTTACGGGTGTCTTCTACTCTTAAGGGCCATGTTTCGCTGCCGTAAATTAAAACAGAACGGACAGCCGCGCAGTATACTCGTCCTTTTATTGATAGACGGATATCTCGCCTCCGCCAAAGGTGACGTAAGTTGGCAAAAGCCAAACGAGCTTTACGAATCCGTGCTGAGATTTCGTCAGACACCAACCCATTAGGGCTGATCAGACTTCCAAGATAAGTGAAGTTGTCAACACGTTCGACTACTTCACTCCCTATCCTTAGTTCAGGTGTTGACGCAGACCAGTCCTGAAGCAACAACTTGCATTTAGAGGGAGAGAAGCGCATCCCAAACATTCTGGCATTGTTGCTTAGTGCTACCAGAAGACTCTGCATTTTGTCAGCGTCTTCACCAAACAGGACTATGTCATCTGCATATTCTAAGTCGATAAGTGGACCTCCTGGAAGGAGATCAATACCCGAGAATTCAGTCGACGAGAGTGTTATTTCCATCAATAGGTCTATGATGAAGTTAAACAAAAATGGAGAAAGTGGGCAGCCTTGACGGACACCACTTGAGGTTGTAAAGGTAGATGACAGTTCGCCATAAGCCCTGACTCGACTAGTAGTGTTCGAGTAAAGAGCCTTCACAAGGTTTATGTACTTCTGAGGTACGCCTTTCAATGACAGACACTGCCACAGAGTCTCGCGGTCTACAGAGTCAAATGCTGCTTTTAAGTCAAGAAAGACCACCATCGTCGGACGCCGATAGGTATGCCTGTGTTCTAGAACCTGACGAATGGTGAATATGTGGTCGATGCAGCCACGACCAGGTCTAAAGCCAGCTTGGTTCTCTCGTGTTTGTAGTTCACGAGTCTTAGTTAGGCGTTTGATAATTATCGAGGCCAGTATTTTAGATACTATGTTTGTTAAACTAATCCCTCTGTGGTTGTCACAGGATGATTTTGACCCTTTCTTATATATTGGGACGATAAGTGATTGCGACCAGTCAGATGGGATAACGTCTAACTCCCAGATTTTAGCCAAAATATTAGTCAACCTAGTCGCTAAAATTGGACCACCATCCTTAAAGACTTCTGGAGCCAGTCCATCTGGACCAGCTGCCCTTCCTCGTTTCAGATTAACTATAGCCTTCTCAACTTCAGCAAGAGTTGGGGGACCTACTTCAATGTTCCATTCACTTTGTCTGGGAATGGAGGGTAGTTGTAGAGTAGCTGAAGGCCAGCTGAACTGTTCTCTAAAATGTTCCGCCCATCGTTCTAAACGTCTGGACTGGGAGCAGATGAGAGTATCATCTTTTTCCGAAATAATCTCACTTACACTTGACTTATTAGTTCCAGTTTCTTTTATTAGTCTGTAAAGCTGTCTTGTGTTCCCTATAGTCGCCGCCTTTTCCATCTCTTTTGCTTTCGTTACCCACCACTGCTCACGGTCGTTCCTTAGACTTTTTCTTAACCTAGATCTGATTTGTTTACGCTCTTCATCATGTTCAGAACCTGATGGGACGAGTTTGCGAGAATCCATCAGTGTGACAGACCTTGAAGAAATCCACTGGTTCCTTGTAACTCTGTGGTTTAAGTCACTAACAGATGTCACTGCTGTTTCCACAGCTGCTTGTATGTCCTTCCAAGCAACATCTGGGTCAGCCTCGTCTTCACAACTAACTAAGTGTGACCTCAGTTGTTCCTGGAACCTACTTTTGGTTTTCTCGTTACTCAACTCAGTTCTAATGGGTCTTTTTAATGTGGCTTTTTTGCGTCCATTGAGGCGCAAGCAGATGCGTGCCCGTATTAGGGCATGGTCGGAGTCCAAGCAGGTGCTCCAGAATGAACGACAATCTTCTACCGACCCTCTCCAACGATGACTGATGGCAATATGGTCTATTTGAGTCCATCGTTGGTTTGGTGTAGGGGGTCGCCATGTTAGACGATGTCTCTCCTTATGCTTAAAATTTGTGTTTGCTAAAAATAAACGATTGTCTGAGCATAGCTGCAGCAGACGATCACCATTATCTGTTCGCTGTGTCGGAATACTAAAATATCCACCTAAATGCCTTTCTGTTTGGTTTAAACTGCCTATCTGAGCATTAAAATCACCTGCTACGAGTACTATGTCTGAGCGTTTAGCTTTCTGAAGAAGTTCGGATAGCTTTCTGTAAAATTCATCTTTCACTTCATCTGAGCTGCAGTCAGTGGGAGCGTAGGCAGAAACGACAAAAAGGCAACGACGTGTGTCCCTATCCTTCCGAGTTCTTACGTAGCCGTTCAGCCGAACAGCACATAGACGACTGTTGACGGGGATCCACTCTAGCAGTGCTTGTTCGGCCCTTATGCTTAGTGCTATGCCTACACCTGCCAGTCCACGAGAACTTGCCATCGGGTCACCGGACACACGAAGGGTGTATCTCGTTGGCTCTCCGTCTTGCCGAGGTGAGGTCAAGTGAATGACCACACTGGAATCCTGTATGCGTGTTTCGGAGACACAGCATACATCAATGGAAAGAGACTCTAGGGTTTTAGCCAAGGAAGCCTGCTGACCGATTTGACATAGGGTGCGTACGTTGAAGGCTCCAATGTGTAGTTTGGAGCGAGGTTTCAGTAGACCTGGGACAGTGTTTTGCGCACTAGAATCGTTGGCTACGGTGACACTTGAGGTGGAAGCCGAGAGAGGAAATACAGAGTTGAAAGTCGATGTAGGAGGAATAATAGGAATTGAAGAAGGAGGTTGATTATGAATACAGTGGACTTGAGTGCTGTTAGAAGTATGAGGGCGGTTATCACTTCCCGGTTGCCCACACCGTGGAAGGGTTGTTCTGGAGGTACCTGAAAAGGAAATTGGATTAAAGGTGGTCTTAGTGAACTGAGAGCGTGACCGCAGTGCCCAAGGGACAACTGCTTGAGGTCGGTCACACACGACCTTGTTATGGGTAATTTTTGTGTTAGCTCCGTACTTATTGAGACCTTACCGCCGGAGACGGATATCCGTGGGATAAGGCGAGGTGTGCATTTTTAGGGTCGACCTTTTCTAACCCCACCCCTCCTTGTGGGAAGGCAGCATCGCTGTCATGCTGGTTGTCTGAAGGAAACACCTTACTGCTGTCACACCTCTGTACAGTCAGCAGTACGACTTCGCCTTCGGACCTTGGGTTTGTTGCTTTTAGTCTTACCGCTCTTCAACCGACCTGTCTGACATGGTAGGACCTTGAGGAACGGTTGTTCCAGCCAGTATAGCTCGGTTGCTTCATCACGATAGGCAAGCCCGACCACCACGTCAAGGTAGCAACAACGGTCGGGCCGAAACGCGCATACAAGATCCAAGTAGCGTCATTCATTTGACCTCTCCATATCAAAATAAAGAACCATCTCGATTCACGCTTCGTCTACCTGGAAGCCCTTGTGCTGCTTCCCGTGGCCTCGCTGTACGTGTAGGTATAGCATTGAGTCCTATGGCAGAACTAGCTCTCTTAAACTGGATTCCAGTAGACTCGGAAAGATAGAAACACTCGTCGTTGCCCCTTCGTCGTCTCTGCCTACTCTCCCATTGACTACAGCTCAGATGATAAAAAAGATGAGTTTTGTAGAAAGATTTACGACCTTCTCCAAGATGTTAGGCGCTCTGATATAGTAACAGCGGATGGTGACTTTAATGTCCAAGTAGGTAAACTAAGAGAGAAGGAAAGATACCTTGGTGGGGATTTAATGGTGTTGTGGCTCAAAGAACAGATACTCGCGACCGTCTGTTGCAGCTATGCTCAGATAACCGCCTCTTTCTTGCAAATACTAACTTTAAGCATAAGCAAAAGATCTTTTGACATGACGATCCCCGAACATGTCCCAACATTGGACCCAAATAAATCAGATTGCTATCAGCCACCGATGGAGGGGCTCGATAGAAGACTGCCACTCATTCTGGAGCACATGCTTAGATTTAAATCACGCTCTAGTGCGAGCACGTATTTGTCCATATCTTGCTGGACGAAGGAAAGACTCTGCAAGGAAACCCCTTAGGGTCCTACTTAATGATAACCAAGCTAAGAATATATTTCAGGAACAACTAGAAAAACAGTTAGTCAGCCGTGTGAGTGATGCCCATCCCGAGGAAGCTGTGGAAACAACATTGATGTCTGCAAGTAAGGTGAACCATAAGGTTAGGGAGAAACACTGGATCTCAGCAGCACCTACCGCACTGATAGATGCTCGAGAACTCATCCAATCTTCAAACCCTAATCTTTCCGATTACTGCTTATACTCTTACTACCTCTACCACTACGAGATTTGAATCGACAACTGAATCTTTGTGCTAATATGGTATGGCAACTCGAACTGACGTACGTACGTATAAAGTCCTACGTTGTTACTGACTAACTGACTGAGTTTCAGTAAGTGAATCGAGTAGAAAAAACAACTGGTTCATACACTTCACTAGGTACTATGCGCCCATGGGATACAAGGCCTACAACTATAGACAAATTTACACATACGAGCCCAAAACAAAAGGTTTGTAAATAAAAATGAGGTGTGAAAAGTTGGAACGACCAAAATTTTAATCACTGGGACTTTACAAATATAAATTGATATCTGATGTTTCCATACACTCGGTGCTAAATTTCTATAGAATTGTAAATTCAAATCTTGGCGGATGATCACATAGATAACAAATGATTATCTAACAACTTACCAATTGGCTGACATCTTCAAATAATATAGCTGTATATAAGGTATAAATGCGTCGAAGGCAGCCTCCTGCACTGAGCCGCCAAAATGCAACAGAACCGTCCTCGTGACCAGTAAGAAGTAAGTCATCTGTGTACAGAATATTTCCACCCAAAGAGCTTGTAGACAACCGAGATCCATTAATTAATGCATGACCACCTTGTATTGGCCAAGGGAGAGAGGACCAACCCCCACCTGATGGATTATCTGCAATTGCTCCTCCACGACCAAAACGCCCTTCAGGACCATAGTAAGCACCGGCAGCTTCAAGATTTGACAGCAAGGTTGGGCTAACCTATTTTGTACGATAAAATGATTACAATGTAAAGGAGTATTGACTTTAAATTTAAGTAGCAAATTTACTGGGGAAGAAAATTTATCACAATATGTTTTGTGAATTTATATAGACATACTTTATGTAGATAAAAAAAACTGAAGGTCTCACATTGAAATATTTGTCTATCTATATGTACACTAAAGTAGCAGTTTATTGACAGCTGTAATCAATGTTTAGTAAAGCAGAAAAGTCTGTAAGTAAAGATTTTTATGCCAGGATATTGCACACAGTAACATTAAAAACTACTTTAGAGAAAATACCTCTAGTTTACGCTGATATCAACGATAAACATCCATTAAGATAGACAGATACACAAATAGGTCTGTGTCAGTTTTCCACCACTTTTCTGACAACAGCAGCTTTTTGAAATGGTATTTACCCTACATTAAGGTTGGTATTAATCCATCTAACAGTGTCTTACCACAGTGGAAATGATCGTTTTGATTAATTTCTAGGTAGTTAAGTAGTGTAAATGACCAGTTTACATCATCTTTAGTTTCAGTCAGTCAGTCTCGAGGAACATAGAGACTGGGGGGTATGTGCTTCATATAAAGTTTTCATAACAACAAGAAGATGAAATTATCAAAACAAAATGGCAAGGCAGTATAAATAGTATTAGTATCCGTAGTCGTAGAAAACATTAGGGATGCAATATGTGATTCTAAAAGGAATGAATTTGCGGAATAAATATTACAAATAATTTAAAATAGTGCTCGGTCCCGAGGAATAAAATTAAATCGACTCTAGTTTAGATCTATTATTCAAACCCATTCCTCCATTAATGAACAATTTTACACCTTTCGTCATTGGACTTTTCAAAACTGTCACCAAATAATATTAATAATTTTGGGAATCATATATTCACATTATTAACTGCAGGCCATAAAATGCTATCTTTCTACGATATTATAAATCCTTGTAAGTGGCATGCCTTTTTTTCTAGTTTACACAGCTACTCTTTTCTAGTGTGACAAATTGAACGGATACATAATTATACCGAGTAAAATATCATTGATATCTACTTGTGGACAGACGGATAAGTAAAATGTAGAATATCTTACAAATCGTATGTTGTCAGAGGCAAAACAGACAGGAGGTACAGTTCACTCTATTTTATAACTGGGAAACGTGGTCTGTGAAGGTAGAAGAGATGGGTAGGTTGAGTTTTTTTTTGTTAATAGGTGTTTTCGGAGCGGTGCTCGCGTTTTGTGTAATGACTGAATGAGGGATGTTGGGGTTAGGCAAATGGAACGTGTGCGAGAGAGGAAATTGGTGTGCTTAACCACAACCTACCTTGAAAAACGGCCGTTGCTAATTCAGAAGTTTAGAATAAAGCTAGGGGCCGTCAACACAAAACGTTGGATCAGTCCATGAAGTCACTAACTGTTGGTCTAAGCCATTTTAGTAGATTCAGACTACTTGGTTGAGGTCTTCGTGACAACCGTAATCAGTGGTTAGAAACATTTGGTGACATGGTTGATAAGGGTTCACGCAATGGCGCAAGTGGATTCACTGTTCCTCATAGTTTTGGATTTCAGTATCCCTCATACGCACCTTTTCACTGTTCTTTCAAATGATATCCTCAAGGTTTTTTCTTTTCTTGTCACTACTAATACATTATTTCGATCTCTTTTTATTTTTATTTTTTCGTGCTAATCAAGCATGGGAACTTTGGCCAACACAGAGCAGTGCCCAGCTCTACGTTGACGATGTTTATATGTCTGTACAAATCTGTGTATCAATCATACATATCACAGTTCCCATCAGTATAGTCATATAAAACCAACGAAAGTTTTTAAACAGAAATTTCAATGAAAATCTTGAATTTTCATCTAAACTAGGAATAAGCATTTCAGTGAAGGTTTGTAAGTAGTATTTATAAAACTAATATAATTTGAGACATTTTATCGCCATAAGAATTTATGATTACAATAGACGTATAAGAAAAAAAGAAAACCACAGAATTACAATGACCATAACTAATGCGCAAACCATGAGAAAGCTGATACAAACGGTCAAATGTAACAAAGGAAACATGAAATAGTGAAGAAAAAATTTAATTTATTTCAAAGGGAGAATTATTTCCCTATTATCAGTTGAATAAGCTAACAAACTATACGTGAGTCACGACTATACACCGAAAGAGCAAACGAGTTTAAATTACATTGCGTGTACATTTTCAAAGGTTGTTTGAACCATTTCAACCAAATATATTGTTATCAAACAGATGAGTGAAATTCTATATAACTTACCTGTGTAATTAAATTGTATGTAGTAAGGGATGTTGTATGCAAGCAAGTTAAATAGGGAGGACGCATAAAAGGCCAGCCAGAAGTTATAAGATCAATCACAACCATTTCTTCTTCACATAAAAGTATTAGTATTTGAACAGGTCCGTCAACAGAACCAACAGGAACTAAATCAACAAGACTTGATGGTAAGTCCAAACATACATGTTCAGGTGCATCAGAATCAAAAACGTGTATAGGAGGAGCTGATAATGAACTTTCTTCTGGTATTTCATCATCATCTTCAGCTTCAGCTGCCACAGCAAGTCGGGCAGCAACAACACTGGCATTAGCAGCTTGATCAATATTGGATCCACGCAATATGCTTACAGTATGACGTTCACCATAAGTGGCACGTGGCATTCCACCAACAAATACAGTAATACCCCCTCTGTTGAGAATAAACAAAATAATGGATAATACGAATAAATAACATGTGTTCTCTTGGAATATTACGACAAATAAACCTAATCAAATCATTATGCATATAAATAAAGATATGACAAAAATAAGTATATTATCCATGAAAAACTTAAATTACGTAATAATTTTGAAACAACTTATCATAGCTTTTCTTTCAGAAATTAAACCAACTTCTGTTCTCAATGATTATTCCATTATCTTAACTAACATTACAGTGAATGTTGAACGATATAGTAAATTACACATCAATTTATATTACGTCTATAAGCAAAGATAATGAGCCTGAAATAGACACGGGGAATAGAGTTATTTAAGGGGTAAAGTTTAATGAACGGTGACATTTTTTAATGCTAACTGCTTACAGCATTCTGTATCACATGGAATTTTTTTAAGGAATAGAGCCTAGCTTGTAAAAATCAAAGGATAACTTACAGAGCAGATGGAAGCCAGAAGACTTTGCTGATCAGTTTGCACGGGAAAGGTCCTAACAAAAAAAGTAAATTATTTCAATGTTACAAATAAGAAGTCATAATTCGACATACCAAAGCCCAAAAAAACACTTTCCAAGCTTTAGAGTTAGATCAAGAAAAGTCATACTCCAGACACTATATTCAAATCTGTTAATTGGTCGCAAGATGTTATGTACAACAGTCAATATTATTTGAATGTTTAATTCAAATTAAACAGAATTTAAAACATTATACTATGACTGATAGATGAATGCCTAGATTACAGAAGTTGAGGCTTTATTAAGCTTCCATCTGGAGACAGTAATAACAGAAAAACCAAGGAAATCGATGAAAACTATGCATTTAACCACAGAGAACTAATTATTAAAGCATGTTTGAAATCAAAACGAAGAACACATAATTTCAAAATGATTGGATTGCAGAAAAAAAGTTCAGGAAACACTGATCTATGCACAAACAAGTGATGGAGAATGAACATCACCCATAAATCATACAAATCTAAGAATAAAAATAGATAAACTTTTCAATCTACTGATAAAATGGATGAATAATGTATCTCATTTATTTGGATCCAGAGTAAGTATAAATGTATATTAAATGTACAAATTGAGGGATAACGTTTTGTTCTACATGACGGGTGCTTTGTTAAAAAAATCTTGATAGTATAAAATCAATTTATGACACTTCATTAAAAAATAAACAATGATTGTACAGCGAGAAGTCCTGTTATTTATGTGTACTTCGTAAAATTAACATTTTACGATTGCATCTACCAGGACTTTCAAATGCTCGTATAAAGAGGCTGTAGAAAGTTAGGTTTTAATATAAACTAGTTAATACCCAGACCACTGTAAATTACTCGGTTACCATCATAACGTTCTATAAATATCTTTTGTATTTGTCATGTCAATGCTAACTTAAACCAACTTTGACCAAATAAGCTTCTTGACATATCATATATAGAAACAAACTCTATATACTGTTGATATACTTAGCAATAGATGAAACTGCATTACCTGGATAATATATGTAGCAACCAACTACTCTTGTGCAACACAAGAAACGGTATTATAACTGTATGACATATGTCCCCCCCTGAATGACATGGCTCAAAATCGTTTGCAATAGCGCAGGTGCATCCACTCTTTGTGTTCTCCCAAATTTTGATCTCCTTATTCCTCCTTGTCTCTTTTTTTCTCTTCCCAAATTTATTTCAATGTATTATACTCGTTAAGTAACATCTCCAAACACTAATCTTCCCGATTACTGCTTATACTCTTATTACCTCTACCACTACGGGATTTGAATCGACCACTGCATCTCTGTGCTAATGTGGTGTGGCAACTCGAACTGATGTACGTACGTACGAAGTTCTACGTTCTTACTGACTGACTGACTGAGGTACCGTCAGTTATCCAAAAAACCTCACAAACGTCCGTTTACAATTGGGTAAGTTTCATACACATAGTCCCCCTTTATTATTTCGAACAAAGCAAGAATGAAGAGGTAAGTAGAATAACATGAATTCATCTTATTTCATCAAGTATCCACCTGGGGGAGCTGGGAAATCCTGATTCCAAACCAGTGGTGTACATAGGCTCCGGTATCCTGAAGGAGCAAATGGAATATGAACCAATTGTTGATCACCGGCTACCATGGTACTGCATTTCCTGACGTTGCTCCACTACCTTGTGGATCAGACCTTTACGTCGAAGGCTCCTGGCGTGGCCCCCTAAGAAAACCACCTGCTTCAGTTTGGGCGTCCCGGCAGCATCCCAGCTCTCACACAAATCGAATGGTTTATGTGGCGCATATCTGTTTAGTGCCTCCTTGTACCAATGTTTATGTGTTTAAATAAGTAAAATCTTTGATCTCCCTTGAATCTATGGCAAATTAAACGAGAAATCATTAGAATTTAGCCGACTTACCATAAGGCATGCTTGGAGCTTCTTCCATTTGAAGCAAGGGTGGTTGAATGGGAGATATTGTTGTTGTACCGAAGCCGATTTCCTTCAAACTCCAAACTCCCAGAGATCCGTCCGAATGCGCAGTCAAGAGACGCATCCCTAATTGGGGTTGATGAGATGTTGGGTTTGACCTATTTGGTTGGCCACTACCGCCGCACCAAGCGGCAGCTTCCAAGCCATGTTGCCACGGTAATAGTGCCATAATACGATCTGAACGGAGGTCAAATAATAAACTTAGACCAGAATTGTAGCCAATTAATAGCTGTCCAGGAAACCCTGGCCTTTCTAATAAAACCACCACTGCATCTGCCCGCAGACGCTGACGACGATCAGGTGAAATGCTGGAAAGTGGACATATGGGAAACCAAACTGATTACATGAAATGTCGTCATTAAATATCATTAAAAACGCCGATAACTGCTAAAGGAACTGCAACAAGTAAATGTATTAGGTTCAAGTCAAGATTCATACAGTAAATGATACTCAGTAACCTAAGGAACTTCAGAACAACAAAAGACAGCTTTCATATGCACATTTTGAAGTGACTTTGAAAGTTTAACATCAAATGTCAAGTTCATCAAACGTAGAGCCAACAACAATAGAACATACTTAATGCCAAATATCATTACACCTAAAACGATACATACCACTTACATACAATGCACCTGAAAAGGTGAAACAATTGGTTTTTCATAGATTACGACTGCTGTGTTACGGATTAGCTCAACATATGTAGGCTAATCTTTATACATGATTTTCAAACAGCCACACTTGATTGACGAGTTGAATTTATCTATTTATTGGTAAAAACATCAGGTCTTTTTGAAAAAGGAAATGATTTAAAAGCCTACCTTATTTTAACGTTCCAGGGGAATAGTAATTCTGCTCCGAAAAGTTATACGAAGTTAGAAACCAATAAATAATTTGGAAAGTTGGTAGAATTGTTATTTTTTAAGAGCCTAAACACAGTAACTTAACGTGCTTCGTCTCGTTCTAAGGCTTTGTATTTCTGCGAGTCCCATTAAAAAACTAAATGAACTTATTGGCATGTGTAAGAGGCCATAAGCAAATGTCCATTGATCTTTAAGGTTGCACAAAACACTGACCCACTTCTTCAGTGTCTTCAAAAGAACCACCGGATCCCATAGATTTTCGAAACGTGAATCTCGTTTGCGCATATGAAGCTGCCTTCGTTCTCGTCTTCCTTATATTTAATACGTCCTGACAAAATTGTCACTTCGACTACTTACATTGTTAAGTACTGCAGAACTAACTGTAATGTAAGGCTTTAATTATGACGCGAAGGTTCGAACAAATCAAATCGAATAGCAGATACCAGAAACCTAGTATTATGAGCTACGAGTTTATCTTTTGTTTTTGAGATAAATTAGCAATCCAAACATGACCATTTTCAACTCAGATGAATAAGTGTGATTCACTTAGTATATATTTAAACTGTCTAAAACTTTCAGTCTAAGTCTGAGAAACGAACTATATGAAAAAAGATAAACAGGCCAGAACTACTAAGGCTAAAAACCACTCCATAAATAATAATTTCCTGATTTGGGTTACCGAACAAAGTAAAGATCGAAAATAGGTCAAATCTTACCCATCAAGTATTCGAGAAGGATTAATTGCATCATCAGCTGAAGGTACGCACCAGAATTTCGTGAAGTCGTCAATGGCTGTATTTGTATTTAAACGAACAGAGGCAACCCAACCATTATCAGTTCCAATGAGGATGCTACGACCGTCGGAGGCGTAGCACAAAGCAGTGACGTGACTAGTTTCTTCATTATTGGTGGAAATATTTGGAACTCCACTTGGCAAAGACTTTAGTTGACTTATAATTCTTTTGAGACATGATCTTTGGACCAGTTGACAAGATGTTTGACTGACTGAAGTCAACTCCCATAAATACATATCATCTGAATCAGTCAATGTAACCAGTTTTCTCTAAAACAGTTATATAATATAAGCTACTTACACTGCCAGTCAAGAAAACCACTTGAATATACTGAGCGTTCGTTTCATGTACAGCAGAAAACGATATTCCTGGTTTCCCGTATCTTACAAAGCGTCAAGGAATTGTATTTAAACGAAGACTAAGTGATCTAAGACCCGACTTTTCAAATGAAAATTACAACCTAATGACACCACAAATAAAACTTGTCTATATGTTATCTACTTTCTCAATCTAAAGAAATGCCATTTCAAAATTTTAGAACATGTATTTTCAACACCCATGATGAACCTTAATACCACACCATAAGTATTTCGCAGGTACTAATAAAATAAGCCTTTGAATGTCGTCTCGACGAAAACCAGCCGAAAAAGGTAGGTTCATTAGTTACAAGAGCAACTTTTAGAACAGTCTAGATAAGTTATGGCAATACAGAAAAGTGAAATGTATGATACACGAAGTGTCACAAAGTGAACTTGAGTTCTTCGACAAAACCCAAAATATTTAAGGCTACTCATAGCTGCAAACGTACTGATTAAGAAGGCCCTATCGTATTCGTAAATTTCCAAAATTTCAGGACTTAAGACAAGTCAACACAGAGAATTTGGTGGATTAAAAAACACGGCCTAGATGTCTGAAAACAAGCTGGAAACTACCCGTACATTTGATACATCAGCTTAGTGAATCACAACAGCTAAAAGACTTAGTACGATAAATAAAAATATAAAAATACACGGTCTTTGATATGAACACGCAACACGGTTGAGACTGAAAAGGCAATAGACTGATCAGCATATCTAAAAGGATACATATAAATGTTGCCATCACGCGTAAGGACAGCTAACATATCGATAACAGGGTCATAGGCAACTGACGTAGGTTTAGAAGGAAATCCATAATCAGAACACTAAGAATATCAACAATAAAAAGCATTCCTTACGACAGAAACCCTATATCTCGACCCCTGTACATCGAGATGCTCCTCTTTTTTACGAAAAGCAGGGAAATGTCCTGGAATTCTACGGAAGGACTGGAAAATCTTTTGCGCCATAGAAATCTACACTCAACGTATCACGCGCGGTACAGCGACATATACATTTAGCGCCTAAAGCCCCCAATTCAGTAATCAGTCTTCAGTCTTCAGTAATAAGGATAGGAGGTCTGTCGACCTATATTAATCCTTGCAGTTTGTAATACTGTGGAGGTCCAATCTCGTTTTGAATATATTAACAGATGGTGCTGATATTACGTGTTCCGGTAGAGAATTCCAGTAATTCACTACTCGGTGCGAGAAACGGAACTCCAAACGTAAACGGTTTGATCTCGGTTTTTGAACTTTCTTCGAATGTCCTCTCAAATGATCAGTTCTAGACGGAAGCAAAAGATAAGACATGTTAATACCAAGGTCATCGTTCAGTATACGATAGGCCAATATTAGATCACCCCTTATTCTACGGTAAGATAACGGAAATAAGTTAAGGTGTCTCAGTCTGTCTTCATAAGATAGGTCAGATAGACCTTGTACCATCTTAGTAGCTCGTCGTTGGACTCTTTCTAGCATATCTGCTTCATATTTGTATTGTAAAACTATTACTCACCATTCCTTAAGCTTAGAAAACCTTGTCCTAAAATTATTTTTAAAATTTCAAGCAGCTCTGCAGTGGTAAGATGTTTGCAGTTTAGACTCAGATTTTTGCATACTCCGATGAAATCCTACCTAGAGTCTCTAAGTAATACTCAGATCTTCCTTCTTTTCACCCTTCTACCTTCTTCAAACTTTTTTTGGTGTGATTCGATTACCTTGCAAACAAGGGTGTAGGTATGCAGTATATAACAGTGGTGAACTGCTAGAAGATCTAAGTTACTGAATTCCTGGTTTATCGCAAACACGGATATCATAAAAATAGTAATCGAATAATCACTTCAGAACAATCTTCTCAACAACCTCACTTTGTTCGAATTAAAACATTGTTTTCTTCCTAACAGGCCTTGTGGTACAAAAATGTTGACTGCTTGAGGTACATGGACTTTGTCAGTAGGTCACGACGATCAACTGAAATCAGGCCTCTTAGACTTCCACAAAGTGTCCGGTTGGCTTAGCTTCCAAATTTTCTGACAAAAACTTTGACGATCACGAAAGAAACATTTATTATGTTAAGGCTGGGACCCATAAGTAGTAGTTTACATCTGATGAAGTGGCCTTCGGACCACATAAAGAGGATAATATAAGCCGCCAGAACTCTCTCTACCTTGTTTGCTTGGCCTAAAGTGACAGTCATAGCACTTCAAGAGTCCATCTCAAGACCACTTTATATTGTCCAGCAAAAATATACCCAGAACCCAGGTCCCCAAAATAATTTAATTCAGTGCTTTTAAGGTCACTTGGGAGTTAAGAGGTCCTGCTGGTACTATTACATTTCAAAATGACTCAGTAAGGATACACAATTAAACCATCTTAAGGCTCCTCCGTCTCAACATTATTAAAAGCAGAATGCGAAAAATTAGCCAATTTGATATGTCTACCTAGAACATACTGGGTTGTTCATTATCGCATTGTCTAAAAGGACCCGAATATCAGTTTATATAATGCTTCAGTTGTCTGTTTTTCTTAAGATTTTATAGTAAGTAAATCCAGGTAGTTTGGTCTCAGAAATATTCAAAGTCGTTTACAAGGTTTATTCAAGACATCACACTGAGAAAGAATTTGTACCATGTTTCCTCACTTTGAACGGGATATATATTTAATGAAATGAGATTAGAGAACAGAAGCTGGAATGTTCATCCAATTAAAAAAGAGATCTGCTCTGCTCAACTTATAGCTTGAAACTCGGGTCATGGATGGATGAAGGGTGCGATGGTCTTAGTGTATTGCATAGTTCACATTCCTCCTCACCCTAATATTATCACATTTGCAACTCAGTGAAACAACGAATTAGAGAAGCATCCATTCTTCACAGAATACGAAACAGATGACGCATTTTCGCAGTTGGAACCAAGTCTTGGTAAATCCTACTAGTGTCTTTAATAATGTTACTTCTGGATATGATGATGTCACAAGTATTCAGTGTTTGACAACGCTTCTACCAGTAACACCTTCTAATATGATTTGTACCCACCGAGAGAAATCAAAAGACAGAGTCGAGGAGATCGGAAGTGTATTTGGCGATGACCAATATATCGGAATTCTCTGATCTAATCTGGCTAGCGATTGCGGTTGATGTTGAGCACGGCGTTACCACACGTGATCTGGTGCGGATGCCTGACCGAGCGCCTTCAGCTAGATGAGTCCACTAAAACATATGGTCAGCATCCAATGTCGAAAACTTACAGGGCTATTTATTTTGGGGATTTATTTACCGCTACAGATCACTCCCCCCCTAGTGGGTTAGTGATGACCCTAAGACGTGGCCAGCCAGAAGTTTAAACCCAGCGAGTTTGTCGTTGGTAAACACTCTTCTGATAGCTTACTAAGTTTAGCAGCGTCTGGTCGTCTTTCCTTACTATATGGGACCGAGGTACAACATAGTAAAAAAAGGAAAAGTACAATGAAAATTTCGACTCCTCATAAACGTCATCGTTCTTTTCCAGCCGTCCTGGAAAAGAAAAAAGAAAATGTAAGTGCATGTCGAAATACACTCGTATGTGCGTAAAAACAAAATGTCGGCAAAAAAAATTGGAATCTTAACTAATTTACACGTAATATCGTTAAAAAAATTGTTTTTTTTGTTTTTGTTTTTTTTGGAATAAAAATAAAAATATATAAGCATATTAAAATTTTTTAAAAAAAATATATGTCGTAAAAAGAAAGATCGAGATAATATTAAATGTCTAGTAGTGCCTTACGTGCAATAGTCGTTTAAATGCTCTGGAAATCTAACTCTTCTTCCAGAACGCGTCGTTTTAAGTTTGTTTTCAGATACATTCGGAGTATCATCGCCAGTGTTGGTTGTCGGTTGAGGAATTATGAGTGGAGTCGTGTCGTTCGATTGTACCGAAGGAAAATCGACGTAGATAGGATTTCCTTCTAAATACGCTGCTTTTAAGCGATCGATGCTGATGCTATCGTTGGTTCCGTTCTTATCGACTATATAGTACTTAGATTCACGTTGAAGAACTTTGAAAGGTCCTTCGTATGCTGATTCGAATGGTCGTCGATGCGAGTCTCGACGAACGAAAACGTGTGTACTATATCGTAAGTCAGGTTGAACGAAAACATCAGTTGATTGAGGTCGAGTGGAAGCAGGTTTAACTGAACGCATTGCGTTTGTAAGCCTGTTCGTGTAGGAGGTTAGATCCATGTTCATTGAAGAGGACGAAGGATCCACGAATTCTCCTGGAAGTCGAAGTGTCGTTCCATAAACGAGTTGAGCCGCAGTGTATCCAATGTCAGCTTTCACTGCATTGCGGATACCTAGTAAGACGAGTGGAAGAGCGTCGGTCCACTGTGAAACGTTTGCAGCTGATAGTGAAGCTTTCAGTTGTCGGTGAAAACGTTCTACCAACCCGTTTGCTTGTGGATGGTAGGCGGTCGTTCGGAAGCGAGTGATTCCTAAAAGTGTGGTCAGACGACGGAAAAGATCAGATTCAAACTGACGTCCGCGGTCTGTAGTGATGGTTGAAGGGCAGCCGAAGTTTGCTACCCATCGTTCGACGAATGTGCGGGCCACTGTTTCAGCAGTGATGTCCTTGATAGGTACTGCTTCTGGCCATCGAGTGAAACGGTCTACGCAGGTTAAGAGGTAAGAGTATCCATTTGAATCTGGTAAAGGTCCTACCAAATCCAGATGAACATGGTCGAAACGAGCATCGGGAGTTTTAAACGAGCCTAAGGGACATTTATTGTGTCTGATAACCTTAGATTTTTGGCAGCTTACACAGGAGCGTGCCCACTCCCTCACGTCTTTATTCATGCCAGGCCAGCAAAATCGTTCTGCTATAAGCTTGATGGTTGCACGAACACCTGGATGAGAAAGTTTGTGCAATGTGTTGAAGACATTGCGTCGATAATGTTTCGGCACGATTGGGCGATCCCTACCTGTAGATGTGTCACAAAGTAAGGTTTCCTTACCTGTTCCCATCTGTTTGATGCGTAGTTTAAGTGTTGTGGACGATAACTCGTGCTGAAGATCAGTGTCTTCTTTTTGAAGCTCGGCGAGTTTAAGAAGGTCGATTCCTTGGAAACTGTTCAAGGAAGTTATGCGAGATAAGGCGTCTGCAACTACATTGTTTGCTCCAGAAATGTGTTGAATATCTGAAGTAAACTGCGAAATGTAGTCCAGTTGTCGAGACTCACGGGGAGAGTACTTGTCAGAAGGAGAGCTTAACGAGAAAGTGAGCGGTTTATGGTCCGTGAAAAGAGTGAATTCACGGCCTTCGATATAGTGTTGGAAATGCCGTACAGCACAATACATAGCTAGGAGTTCCCTACCGAATGTGCTGTACCTCGATTCGGTGTCTAGCAACCTTCTAGAGAAAAATGCCAAGGGTTGCCAGGAGTTGTTAACCCATTGTTGTAAGACTCCTCCGATTGCCGAGTCGGATGCGTCTACTGCGATGCTAATGGGTGCTTCGGTGTCCTGATGTGCGAGCATTGTTGCTTTAGCAATCAGTTCCTTAACTGTGGAGAATGCTTTTCGTGCGGTGTCGTCCAAATTAATGGATTTCGCATTTCCACGAAGTTGGTCGGTCAGAGGTTTCATAAGTAATGCGCATTTCGGTATGAAACGTCTATAGAAACTTACCAGGCCGTTAAACGTGCGTAATTGCTTGACGGTGGTCGGTTCTGGGTAATCCAGAATGGCCGCCACTTTGGTTCTAAGGGGTCGGATACCTTGAGCATCGATAGTGTGTCCCAGAAAGTCTAACGAGTCGGTTCCGAATTGGCATTTCTGAACGTTTACAGTTATGCCATGTTTTTGTAATCGTTCGAAAACAAGATCCAGATGCTTGAGATGTGTTTCTCTGTCCGGACTTGCGATTAGACAGTCGTCAACATACGCGTGTACGAAGTTGAGACCTCGAAAAACGTCGTCTATGAATCTTTGGAATGTT